GATAGGTTAAAAGGAGATAACAAAAAACTAAGCGACATGTCTTGGACCGTGTTCGTGAGCATAAAGCAAATTTGAAAACACGGGAGGATCAACACTTCAGCCATGGCTGATCATTGCTTGAATGCGGTTGGCTCACACGAAATTGATTTCTCTAAGACGAAGGTACTTTGCAAACCTACTGGCTATCACCAAATATTCGTTCATGGAGCCATCCATATATACAGACACGGACACAATTTCAACCGAGAGGATGGGTACAAACACGGCAATCATTGGAAGGATGTCATCAACCAGTTTAAGTCATAACTAGCTGTGATGTTTCCATCTTGTCACCTTCCGATGTTAGTTTTATTTTACTATAATACCACAAGTTAATTTCTCCACGGCTCATACGTCTACCCTATTAACATAACTTTTGCCGCTGATTTGCCAGGACGCTTGGGCTATGCCCATTTTAAACCTTTTGAGTGGCTTCCCCTCCTCCTTTTTTTCCTTCCACCTGATGACGGTCGCTTGTGTTGTGATCGAAACGTCATAGTTTTTTGTTTATTTCATTATTTTTGAACCTATCTACGTGACTTTACTGAAAGACCGAAAGAATATGTCTTTGGACTGTGACGAGAGAGTGGATTAAATTCAATCAACTGAGTTGACTTACGATCGATGGTGAAGAAGATTGCTGAGCACAGGCCCAATATACCAAGCGGCCTCTAACAAACAGCACTCGTGAAGGGCCTGTAATAGGTATAATATTTAGCACAGTAAAGCTACTTACTGTAAGAGCTTTGGGCGAAACAAACGATTATGATGATGGAAGAAACGAATTCCACAGTAGAGCAGTACAAAGAAGAAGTACAGGGAGGGAAAAAAGTATTTGATCCCCTGCTGATTTTGTACGTTTGCCCACTGACAAAGAAATGATCAGTCTATAATTTTAATGGTAGGTTTATTTGAACAGTGAGAGACAGAATAACAACAAAAAAATCCAGAAAAACACATGTCAAAAATGTTATAAATTGATTTGCATTTTAATGAGGGAAATAAGTATTTGACCCCCTCTCCATCAGAAAGATTTCTGGCTCCCAGGTGTCTTTTATACAGGTGTAGTGGAGTAAACAATACGCATAGGAATTGGCCATATACAGTACATACAGACAGACAAGGAGAACGGGTCACATGAGGTCGAACAGGTGGTCGAGTCGTGGGTGGCGTAAACAACCTGAAGTAATTAAGGGAGTCGTGGCACGAGGGCTGTGATTGGTCGAGAGGCTGTTAGTGTTAAGTGGTGGCGTCTGGATGTCTGATGGAGGGGACAGGTGCGAGCTGGCGGAAAACGGCCAGCGAGCCACGTGGCAATTAATTAAGGCTAATGCGAAAGGGGATAAAACGCGAGGTGGTTTGAACGGAGTGGAGTTGCTGCTGGGGAGTTGTTGTTGGAGAGTTGTTGCTGGGCAGTTGTTGGCGAGAGTTGAAGAGATACGAAGAAGACAGCTGGAATGTTAGGGAAGAATAAATAGAGAACCCGACCCCAAAGACAGTAAATAGCGATAGGGAGAGTCAGGGTTAGCGGAGATAGATGGAGTCACTGTGTGTGAATAGATAGATGGAGTCACTGTGTGTGAATAGACAGACAGGATACAGTGTGTGAATAGATAGAAGAAGAACCACTGTGTGTGGAAGGGAAGTCACTGCGTGTGAAGAGATAGCGGCGATACTGTGTGTGTGAGGAGATAGAAGACGAACCACTGTGTGTGGAAGGGAAGACACTGTGTGTGTAGAGATAGAGGAAGGAACACTGTGTGTGGAAGGGGATGCACGGACGATGCTGAAGCAAATCGGAGTGTCCGAGTTGGCGGAGCACGGAGAGAATTACTGTGTGTACGGAACGATGGAATAAAAGTGACGGCGGAAAAAGAGACGGTTGTCGTCCGAGTGAATTCACGGCACTACACAGGTAACGAGCTGAGATTAGGAGCACACTCTTAAAGGGAGTGCTCCTACCACAGAAGCAATCAATCAATCAGATTCCAAACTCTCCACCATGGCCAAGACCAAAGAGCTCTCCAAGGATGTCAGGTACAAGATTGTAGACCTACACAAGGCTCGAATGGGCTACAAGACCATTGCCAAGCAGCTTGGTGAGAAGGTCACAACAATTGGTGTGATGATTCGCAAATGGAAGAAACACAACAGAAATGTCAATCTCCCTCGGCCTGGGGCTCTATGCAAGATCTCACCTCGTGGAGTTGCAATGATCATGAGAACGGTGATGAATCAGCCCAGAACTCCACGGGAGGATCTTCTCAATGATCTCAAGGCAGCTGGGACCATAGTCACCAAGAAAACAATTGGTAACACACTACGCCGTGAAGGACTGAAATCCTGCAGCATCCGCAAGGTCCCCCTGCTCAAGAAAGCATATATACATGCCCGTCTGAAGTTTGCCAATGAATATCTGAATGATTCAGAGGACAACTGGGTGAAAGTGTTGTGGTCAGATGAGATCAAAATGGAGCTCTTTGGCATCAACTCAACTCGCCGTGTTTGGAGGAGGAATGCTGCTTATGACCCCAAAAACACCATCCCCACCGCCAAACATGGAGGTGGAAACATTATGCTTTGGGGGTGTTTTTCTGCTAAGGGGACAGGACAACTTCACCGCATCAAAGGGACGATAGACGGGGCCATGTACCGTCAAATCTTGGGTGAGAACCTGCTTCCCTCAGCCAGGGCATTGAAAATGGGTCGTGGATGGGTATACCAGAATGACAATGACCCAAAACACACGGCCAAGGCAACAAAGGAGTGGCTCAAGAAGAAGCACATTAAGGTCCTGGAGATGCCTAGCCAGTCTCCAGACCTTAATCCCATAGAAAATCTGTGGAGGGAGCTGAAGGTTCGAGTTGCCTAACGTCAGCCTCGAAACCTTAATGACTTGGAGAAGATCTGCAAAGAGGAGTGGGACAAAATCCCTCCTGAGATGTGTGCAAACCTGGTGGCCAACTACAGGAAACGTCTGACCTCTGTGATTGCCAACAAGGGTTTTTCCACCAAGTACTAAGTCATGTTTTGCAGAGGGGTCAAATACTTATTTCCCTCATTAAAATGCAAATCACTTTAAAACATCTTATGACATGCGTTTTTCTGGATTTTCTTGTTGTTATTCTGTCTCTCACTGTTCAAATAAACCTACCATTACAATTATAGACTGATCATTTCTTTGTCAGAGGGCAAACGTACAAAATCAGCAGAGGATCAAATACTTTTTTCCCTCACTTTAGAGATGTGAGGTGACCTGCAGTGTGGTGAGTGAGTGGTTGGATGAATGTGTGAGTGAGTGATTAAATGATTGGTTCATTGAGTGGGTGGGTGAGTGGGTTTGTTAGTGTGTGGGTAATGCAAACTACCTACAACTGACACAAACTGAAACAAAATTGCCTCAAACTTACAAACTTGGGAAACCTAAAATTGACACAAACTGCCTCAAACCGACCCAAGTCGATGCAAACTGCCTACAGCTAAGACAAACTGAAACATTGCCTCAGACTTACACAGACTCAAGGCGCCTCAAACTGACACAAACTGCCTCAAACTCACACACACCGACTCAAGGTGCCTCAAACTGGTACATGCTGGCACAAACTGCCTTACAAATTGTCACAAACTGCCTCAAACTGACACACACGACTCGACGTGCCTCAAACTGCCTCACAAATTGTCACAAACTGCCTCAAACGGACACAGACTCAAGGTGCCTTAAACTGACAGAAACTGACTCAGATTGTCACAAACTACCTCAAACTGACACTCAAGGTGCCTCAGACTAACACAAACTGGTTAGGTGCTTTCGTGACTGCAGGAATTACTCTTTGTTTTTTTCGGTCAAGTCACGTAGAAATAATACAAAATAAAATTATATAATAGCATACGACGTTTCGATTGCAACACAAGCAATCATCATCAGGTACAGAAGAGCTAAATTTAAGAGAGGAAACATAATCGCAGATATATACTGACCCTAAGTAGAGGGAATTAACACAGACACACCAGGGACACAGAGAGAGACGGAGGAGCACACTAAATCAAACAGGGTTTAGCAAAAATTTGGAAACTATATAAAGCAACACAGACGGTCGGTTTAAACACATTGAACGCATGGTCTGGTTGATTAATGCATCGTCTGGTTGATTACGCATGGTCTGGTTGATTACGCTATTTCTTTATGTTTTAACCGACCGTCTGTGTTGCTTTAAAAGATGTTCGATTTAGAACATCTTTTCAATGGTTGCTTAATTTGAAACCATCTTCCCAGTTGAAATTGTCTGTGTTTGTAGATCAACCGATAAGATGGTTTCAAATTAAGTAACCATTGGAAAGCTGTTCTAAATCTAACCAAACATTAAACTAATTTTCAATGGTACAGTATATTTTTTCAAGTAGTGGTACCCCAAACTTTCGCAGCTCTTAAAATTTCCTTTTCACACCATCAATATGTAAACTCCCCCTACCCCCCTCGCCAACCGGCATGTTCACCCGCATGTACACCACCTCTACACCGTTCATCATGCTAAGTCGGCCAATTAAATGCTAATTTTATGCCAATTCCTTTGTCAAGGCACCTTAATTTCTCTCACACAGCTTAAAGGTCGCGGTTTGAGCTTGGCTGTGTTTCACTCCAGCGCTGTCCTCGAGACAGTCTGGTCCCTTCACCTGATGAAGGCCGCTTGTGTTGTGGCCGAAACGTCGTGATTTTTGTTGTTTTATTTTTTACCTACGTGACTTTACCGAATAGAACCAAAGAGTATGGATCCTTGCAGTCACGAAAGCTTCAAATCTAGAACACGGGGGATTATTCATACAGCCCTTTAAATAATCTCCGAGACTCCCCCTCCAATCGGCTACGCGTGTACGAGTGACGTCACTGCTCTTTGACCCCTGCCCCCCCCGTCCCGCGCGTGCGATTGGTGTGTCGCACTAAAACCGACTCCGAATTCCCGCCCCGCAGCCCTTTAAACAATCTCCATTGCCCGCCCTCGGTGGCAACGCGTGTGCGAAGGACGTCACTGCCCTCTGACCCCTGACCCCCCGTTCAGCGCGTGCGAGTGGTGCGCGGGGTTGTGTGAGCGGAGACGTCGCATTTGAGTGGCTGAGAAGCGACGGATTGATTCCAGGCAGGCGTGTGCCAGCCCCGAGCTATGCCCCGCAAACAGGACCCGCGGACCTGAGGGGCTGCGGTGCGAGGAGAGGAGCCGGAGAGCGGCAGCCCTCCTGAGGTCAGCCCTCCCCCAGAGGGGAAGCCGGGGGCCCGCGTCCCCCACACCCTCAGCACCACTGTCTCTATCACTTGCCCTCTGTCTGTACACCTCGCTGGATATTTCCCTGCACGACAGAATGTGAGAGCGCGCGTGGGGTGCCCTATTGGTTTTTGAAACGCCTTGGGCTTCAAGACGGTGGCTTTTTGTTGTGATCGAAATGTCGTGATCTATTATTTTTTCTATCTACGTGACTTTACCGAAAGAACCAAAGTATGGATTCCTGCAGTCACGAAAGCTTAAAATCAAGAATGGGCTGTAGACAGTTGAGGTGCTTAATTCCATAGCCGCCCTATGTGATTACTCAAGTAAATCTATAACCGATTACCAGTTAAACGAAGAGGTCATACCGATGTAGGGCTGTATTTGTTTTGTTACGTATTGTGCTAATTTGTATGTGGCAGAGCCTATTGTACTAACTATGGGTCTTAATGGGACATCAGGAATGTGCATTGTTTGGTAGCCCATAAAGTCTTGGTGGTTTTGATGCCCTTGGTTTGATCAGGTATTGCTCTTCCTTGGGAATTGATGACTTGACAATGATTTCCGTTGTTTTACGTTCCAAGGTGCTGGTTGGGTCTCGTTTAATTTTAAGGTAGGCACCTTCGAGTAAATCTTTGATTTTATTATCGTAGTCCTCACGGGGCATCACAACAGTTGATCAGCCCTTATCAGCAGCAAGTATTTGGATATCTTTATTTGCTCTCAATTATCTTAATGCCTTCTCCACAAATCTGACTGTCGCCTGATGAAGCTAGTTGTAATTACTGGCGAAACGTCGTACTGAGATTGTAAATGGTGTAGCTCTTCAAGACACCGGCGTGCTGTCCTAGTGATGAATTGACATGTTCTGTTTACGTGACAACCCTTACTAGTTGGCTGTGTCGGGTGGTGGCGGGTTTTAATGACACATATTTACGCGATCTAACCCTAAAAAACCTCTTATGGATATTGGTCGCGAAAGCCTACGTGTTAAACTGAGATGTTAAATCCCTCGCGTGGTATACAGGAGATCGTGGTTTCGATCCCGACCCTGACGCCTGCTGTATATTTGGAGTTTGTGTCTCTCTCTCCCTGTGGTCACGTGGATTTTTCTTCAGGCCTTCCGGTTTTTCTATCCACATTTAGAATCAACATCACGCGTTTAGAGTATTTGGCTGCTACAAATGTACACATGATGTATGTTGAACTTTTTTAGCACCGTACCTAGCAAACTATGATAATTAGAGGTGCAGCGATAAGCAGTGGCAAGCCGCTTCGTCGAGCTTTCATTCGTGATAGCCAGGTCGCTTCTGAAAAAATCAGCTACATAGCTCAGTGGGGCCTTATCTGGTAAAATAAAAAATCCTTTTTTGTTTTTGTTATCGACAACAGAAGGGTGCGATTACAAATCATAGTTTGATGAGTCGACATAATGTCTTGTATGTGTGTTGAACTTCTTTCGCACCGGAAAGAAGTTGCTAATCGGAGGTGCGCGAGTAAAGTCGTCCCAGCTTTATATTTGTAACGCACCCGCGCCATTCGTTATGTGTGCCACCCACACAAAAAAAGGAACACATGCCTGCACGAAATCGCACAGCGCGGAGGCGAGATACACACAGATGGACAGTGGAGTACAACGTGACTTTTTAATGTCCATACAGAGACGCGGTCCACCATGTCCCACAAGCTACCCATAGACGTACATCGCCTACAACTGCGTTTCCGGGTCCACAAAATCAATCACCCTTAATGAATAGTAATTTTGCACGTCACATTTCATACCACTTTAGCATTGTTAACACGATCCCTTTCATCAAATCACACACACACACACACTTGCTTAAATACGTGTGGGTGTGTGTATGTCAGATTCCCTTGAAGGTGAACTGTTTTTTTTGTGAGGTCAGTGGTTGGCGACCCAGAGTGCCATCCACTTACCTGTCAACCCATACGGTTTACCCCGTATTCTTGCACAGGGAAATTTAGTTTTTAGGTCCATATGGCGTACAGCCTTTTCAATACGAGCAAACAAAAACTTTCTTTGTCTATTTGTTTGTGTTTCTCTCCTTGTGATGGGACTTTGTAGGATGAACGTTGAGATTTATAAGAGCACGGCGTGACTAATAAGGTCTCAATTGCTCTGTAATAAGGTAGGGCAATGATAAGGGGTTGACAGGTAAGCTATACACTACACTACTATACACTGATAAGGGGTTGACAGGTATACTGAGTCGCAGAGGTGGTCCTAAGTGGATCCCAACCAAAACCATGGGAGCTGGCTGAGTGCCTCGGATGTCAAGGGCCACTGAGGTCTTGGGCTTGAATCCCTAGTCTGAGCCGCCTCCAATTAAGCAGGTTGTCCAGCGGAGCGAGTGAGCTGATGGTCTCAGGCTGGTGACCAATGGCACAACAAAAACAAACCCCATAATTTTATATGGGTCCTCGCTCGATGTTTGATAAGTTCCAGCTCTAAAGTTCAACACGTAGCCTTTCGCGACCGATATTAAGCACAATAGTGGGTTTTTATTGGGTTAGATCGCGTAAATATAAACGTATCTTAATTACCGCCACCACGACACAGCCAATTAGTAAGGGGTTTATCACGGAAACAGAACGTGGCTAATATTTACTGGTTCAGCACACCGGTGTATTGGAGAGGTAACCCACTACAACAATTACATATTCTTGGGTCTTTCGGTAAAGTCACGTATACAGGGTCAAGAAAATAACAAAAATAACAAAAACTATGACGTTTCGATCGCAACACAAGCAGTCGTCTTCAGGAAAGTGTAGTGTATAGTAATGTAGTAAATAGTGTAGTATACAAATTCAGCACACCGGTGTGTTGGAGAGTAAACCCACTACAACATTTACAATTCGAGTACCATGACGTTTCCCCGGTAATTACAACAACAACCAGCATCATTCAGCGACAGCCAGGATTGTGGAGAAATTCTCCCCCTGTTTTGGTCTAAAAATGTTTAGTTTGACCATCATGCGACAAACTTTATTCTGATGTGGCAGAGCGGGTGGGAAAGTGCTCTTCTCCACTGTGTGTATAGCGCAAATATCACTTGAAGAAGTAGCTCTATGATATTTGCTTCTGTAGGCCACTGTCTTTAGACAAGTGTCACTTGAATAAGAAGGGATCTCAGAGGTAGCTCTATGATATCAACTTCTGTAGGCCACTGTCTTTAGAAAAGTGTTACTGGAATGAGAAGGGAACTCAGAGGTAGCTCTATGATATCCGCTTCTGTAGGCCACTGTCTATAGACAAGTGTTACTTGAATAAGAAGGGATCTCAGAGGTAGCTCTGCCATATCTGCTTCTGCGGGCCATCCTCTAACACGGAGGGGGGGCGGCACTGCCCTGTGACGTTTCCGAACAGATTATTTGACTCGCGATTACGCGACACCGATGGCACAACCGGGATAAAAATGCGGAAAGAAACGAAATCCCATAATGTGGAATTGTGCTGAATTGCACAAATTCAGCCATGGGTTAATCCCTTGGCAGTCACTGAAATGTAATGTGCAACGTACATAGAGTGTATATATAGAGTCCTAAATATCCGATGTGGACTATTACATTGCGCACGCCATTTTACATTGGCGATTCAGTGGATCTTGTTGGTACATTGGCAGGTCGCGGGGCAGTGCGTCATCGTATACTGGCCAAAGAAGGTCGTCCCACAGCCCAGTATTATCTTCATCAGCCAGCAGTTTGCGTACTTGTCCAAGTACGGACACGGGTTCGCTGGAAATGGGGGGGGGATGAGAGAAGACAATTTTCGTTTAATGCACCACGTGCAGGAAGAACATGGTGATATACAGATCACCGCACGGCTACCACGCCAGGTCGTGCTAAGCAAGGCCATCAATTTAATGACATTTACACGCAACAGAAGCAGCATGTAACTCCATGGTTAGTCTGCGATCGGAAGGTCGCGTCTGGCCGGGGGTCAAGTGTGGGTACTCTCACAGCTTCCAAGAACGTGTTGTTTGCCATGCGTGGAAGAGAAGGCCAAGTATACCGTCCAGAGAGGGGGGGGGGGCTCTTCTCGAGCTATCTCTAGCAAGCAGGGCGACACATCCGCCCGCAGTGGTGTGAGCGTGTAGTTGCAGGGCTGCGCCTGTACCTCTCGCTCTACCGCGTTCGCGTGTTTGCCGGTGACGTGGGGAAGGCACTCACTGCACAGTTTGTCGTCGCAGTCGTTGGGGCAGTCCTGGCAGGACGGGCCCTCGTCGTACGGCTTTGTGAGCCGGTTGTTCCAGTTCCCACTGTGTGGCACAAAGACGAAAAAAAAGACAAAGATCCCCCGTGTAGCCTTAACGGACTGTGGGAGCAAGTACTGTTAGCGAGTAGCACCTATGAAGGCCGGCACGGCACACGAGGGGGTGGGTGGCCAGGACCACGTCCGACCGCCTTTGTCTCCCCAATGGAGATGTTTACACACCGCAACCAGGTACTCATTTAAGGCTGAGTCGACCTAGGGGAGGCCCAGGACTGGTTCAGATAATCGCCACTGGTTTTGGCCGTGAGCGGGAATCGAACTCGGGTCGCTGGGCTTGTAGCGCAGCGGGCTTATAGAGCAGCGGGCTTATAGCGCAGCGCGCTAACCGTTACACCACCGCTCCCCGCCGTGTGGCACACACAACAATAATACTGAGTTGTGTGTTTGGTAGAGGCTGCCCTGCTTTACGCTGGGGGGTAATCGGCATTCCGGAGAAGCGACGCGCGTCACTTGTCATGTCGACGCATTTGTAAGTGGGCGCCCCCAGTGGTAGCTGTCCCCGTGCGACGCGAGGTGAATCGGCCACCTTGCCTTACAGTGGTAATTCGTGTCGCGAGAAAGGGGTGGGGGGGGGGGATGATGGCTGCTGTGTGATTCCCAAGTGAGTAATTTTCAGACTACGACGCCGGCACGCAGTGGCCCTATTTGCATCGAATTACATCGGAGGGATCCACGGAACGGTTGACGTGGAGCAGACGTTGCCGAAAGTAGCCTTTATGAGGGTGAACACACCTCCAGTAATAGCCGAAATCTTGACGCCTGCTGCTGTATATTTGGTGTTTGTGAGTCTCTCTCTTTCTCTCCCCGTGGTCGCGTGGATTTTTTTCTCCGGGTCATCCGGTGTTTCCCTCCACATTGAAAAATATTTATTGGGATTATTTAGATTATTTTGGAGCTATAAATGTCCAAATGATGGGCCACTTTGTTCAGCTATAATTTTTGGTTTCCAGGTCACTTCTGAAAAATAAGTTAATACCTCGGCAGGATGGAGACGGTTTAGTGTTTTGTATTTGTTTGTGTTTGGGTGGTTTGTTTACCTTTATTGCACTTGGCACTACGATCGTGTTTTGTATTTATTGTTGTTGTAACGTTCTTACCCGCCCCTACTGGACATCTATGAAAAAGAGCTTCATGGCTCATCGGATTCCTCCTGCAGTGTAAATACAGATTCTGATTTTGAAACCAATGAACTATGCATACTGTCGACGAACGCGCGACCACTGTCGCTGTCCGGAGCTTTCGAAGGCTCGTCAAGAGATGTGTTGCCCTGGACCGCAGAGCGTTGAACCAACATGCGAGTGAACCCAAACCGATGCGCACTCTTGAAGGCGCTCTCCCAGCGCGTGGCGCGAAAACGTCGGCGCGTCGTGCCGAAAGGAACGCGGTGCGCGGCACAACAGCCGAACGCACGTGGGAGAAACGCGCGCATGGCAGCAGCAGCGGCAGCAGCAGCACGACCGCGAACATCCATGCAGTCGCAGTGCGTTGAATATACAGGGCGTGGCTTACACAGGGCAGTATGCGCAGAGGTACATGTACTTGTACGCTTCCTCCGGGCAGTAGTTGATGGTACATCCCACTTGGTAGGTGCTGTACCAAATGATCTGTAACGCACGACGGACAAGATTATGCGACGTTATGCATTCAGCGCCGGTGGTTTCTGACACACTGCAGGAGCGATGCCCGTCGCGTAATGTTCAAACCAATATTCACAGTTCTCAGAGCTGGACTTCGGTGAAGTTAAGTGTCGAACCAAATTTGTTGTGATGGTGACCTGGCTGGAACCATCAACCCACTGCACTTGAAAATCCAGCTGAACTATGAACTGGCATCCAGAAATTGAACCCAGAATCTCAGTGGTGCCGGCTCGGTGCTCTGACCTCCCAGCCACCCAGCCACGAACATCACATTACTCAACATTGATAGTAAATTGTACTTCGCGTGGATAAATTCCAGCTCTTGAGAAATTAACGTTTTGGTCTGATTATCAAGCGGCGGACATTACCATCACATGCAGATTGGGTGCGGGAATGTGTTCTCCACTCAGTAGAACCAAAGGTCACTTAAGGAAGGGATGCCAGAGGTAGCTCTGTGATATCTGCTTCCATGGGCCATTCCTCAACAGAAAGGGTTGCACTGCTGCTGTGTGAAAGATCCAAATGAAACAATATGACAGCAACGTAATGCAGTATAATAATAATTATTGTACTTGATTACCCAGTAGAGCCTCAGTGAGCCTCAAGACTAACTCACTGACCCCGTGATCCCTGACTGGACATCTATAAAAAAAAGAGCTTCATAGCTCGTCGGATTCCTCCTCCAGTCTAAATGTAGATTTCTGATTCTGAGACTTTTCCGGAGGATCCTGCCAAATTTTCACAGAGGAAGGCCGATGTTGCTCTGCGTGTGATCCCAATTGAGTAGTTTGCAGGTAAAAAACAATAGTTTTCAGCTTGACGATATTTGGCAAATAGCAGTTTTGGCCAATATCAGTTTACGCTGTGCGTGTGTTCGTTCTAGCGCTGCGCTACAAACACGGCAACCCGAGTTCGCTAACAGTACTTGCCACAAACAGTCTGTTAAGGCTAAACGGGGGATCTTTATTTGAGCTCTGGAGGGAGGAAATCTATGTAGAACAGGGCGGGAGAGAGAAAGGGAGATCATACAGACTCCACATAGAGAGGCACCCGAGTCAGGAATCCAACCCATGAAAACTTGCTGTAAGGCGCAAGCGTTGCCATTTTGCTATCACCAGCCTGACGGCCCCAATGAAATAAACAACACCAAAAAAAGTATTTATATATTTTTTGTCCGGTCCGTCTGCTGCGGGTTTACCTGCGTGTAATGTCCCACGATTCCAGGGTTCCGCGGCCCCTTCCCGTAGTCGAATCCTGGACTGTTGGCCTCGTCGACCCAGACCTTGATTGCCTCGTCCCACGAATAAAGCGTATTGGAAAATACTATGTTCTCAGAGCACAATATTCCTGTGTAAACACAACATCAACATCATCAGCATCATCATCACCACAATCATCATCATCCGTGTTGTATATCCGTGGCAGGAGGACTCCAAGCTGTTTTGCCCTCATTCCCATGATGACTGCGATGCACAACGATCCCGCGTTGCAACCTCGGCACGCGAGCCAATTTCGTCGCTCAATTTTTTCCCATGGTGGACGTTCCTCTCGGACACGCTCTGCCCCATTGGCTCCAGCCACTGTTAGTCTCGATCACTGTTAGTCTGTGTCGATGTTAGTCTGCGTCGCTGTTAGTGTCCATCGCTGTTAGTCTGTGTCGCTATTAGTCTCCGTCGCTGTTAGTCTCCGTTGCTGTTAGTCTGCGTCGCTGTTAGTCTCAGTCACTGTTAATCTGCATTGCTGTTAGTCTGCGTCGTTCTTAGTCTCCGTCGCTGTTAATCCTCATCACTGTTAGTCTGTGTCACGGTTAGTCTCTGCCACTGTTAGTCTAGGCCGTCGCTGTTAGTCTGCGTCACTGTTAGTCTGCGTCACTGTTAGTCTGCATCACTATTAGTCTGCGTCACTGTTAGTCTGCATGGGTGTTAGTTTCCCCCACTGTTAGTCTAAATCGCTGTTGGTCTGTGTCGCTGTTAGTCTATGTCGCTGTTAGTCTCCATCGCTGTTAGTCTGCATCACTGTTAGTCTCCATCGCTGTTAGTCTACATCACTGTTAGTCTGTGTCGCTGTTAGTCTCTCCCGCTGTTAGTCTGCATCACTGTTAGTCTGTGTTGCTGTTAGTCTGTGTCGCTGTTAGTCTCCATCCCTGTTAGTCTCCGTCGCTGTTAGTCTACATCACTGTTAGTCTGTGTCGCTGTTAGTCTCTCCCGCTGTTAGTCTGCATCACTGTTAGTCTGTGTTGCTGTTAGTCTGTGTCGCTGTTAGTCTCCATCCCTGTTAGTCTCCGTCGCTGTTAGTCTACATCACTGTTAGTCTGTGTCGCTGTTAGTCTCTCCCGCTGTTAGTCTGCATCACTGTTAGTCTGTGTTGCTGTTAGTCTGCGTCACTGTTGGTCTCCATCACTGTTAGTCTGCATCACTGTTAGTCTCCATCACTGTTAGTCTGCATCACTGTTAGTCTGTGTCACTGGTAGTCTGCGTCACTGTTAGGCTCCATCACTGTTAGTCTCCATTACTGTTAGTCTCCGTCGCTGTTAGTCTCCCCCGCAGTTAGTCTGTGTCGCTGTTAGTCTGTGTCATTGTTAGTCTCCATCACTGTTCGTCTCCATCACTGTTAGTCTGTGTCGCTGTTAGTCTGTGTCGCTCTTAGTATGTGTCGCTGTTAGTCTCCATCGCTGTTAGTCACCGTCGCTGTTAGTCTCCGTAAATGTTTGTCTATTTTGCTGTAAGTCTGTGTCGCTGTTAGTCTCCATCACTGTTAGTCTGCATCACTGTTAGTCTGCATCACTGTTAGTCTCCCCCGCAGTTAGTCTGTGTCGCTGTTAGTCTGTGTCACTGTTAGTCTCCATCACTGTTAGTCTGTGTCGCTGTTAGTCTCCATCGATGTTAGTCTCCGTCGCTGTTAGTCTCCGTGGTTGTTAGTCTACATCACTGTTAATCTGTGTCGCTGTTAGTCTGTGTGGCTGTTAGTCTCCATTGATGTTAGTCTCCATCGCTGTTAGTCTCCATCGCTCTTAGTCTGTGTCGCTGTTAGTCTCCATCGCCGTTAGTCTCCATCGCTGTTAGTCTCCTTAAATGTTTGTCTGTTTCGCTGTTAGTCTGTGTTGCTGTTAGTCTCCATCGCTGTTAGTCTGCGTCACTGTTAGTCTCCATCGCTGTTAATCGATTTCACTGTTAGTCTGCATCACTGTTAGTCTCCTCCTTTGTTATTTTGCATCGCTCTTAGTTTCCATCGCCGTTAGTCTCCATCCTTGTTAGTCTGTGTCGCTGTTAGTCTGCATTACTGTTAGTCTCCGTCGCTGTTAGTCTCCATCCCTGTTAGTCTCCGTCGCTGTTAGTCTATGTCACTGTTAGTCTCCATCGCCGTTAGTCTATGTCACTGTTAGTCTCTATCGCCGTTAGTCTCCATCGCTGTTAGTCTCCGTAAATGTTTGTCTGTATCGCTGTAAGTCTGTGTTGCTGTTAGTCTTGTGGTGCCGTCACAGCGGAGCCGCTCCATCGGGGCCGTGCCCACCGCCGTGACGCCACCACCGGGGAGTTACGACGCCGATGCTGCGCGCCCCTCGCCGCCCCCCACATTAATGCACGCATACCCCACATAGGGCCCGAGAGGGAGTCACCTGGCCGACAGGTTTTTGTCCAGAAGCCCCTGATGGGATCAAGCTTCATGTTTTCCTACGGCTGGGAAATTGGGCAACCTACCCCTGAGGCTGACGTGCACCGCGACGCCGTGACCTGCTATTATAATTGCATGGTCACAGCAGGGGCTGTTGAGCCACCGCGGATGGAACCACACACATGTAACACGGGTCAGTGGGCTGGTAGCGGGAAGAACAGAAAGCGGACGTCAAGGGGACCACAGCGGTGACATCACCAGAGCTGGGATCCGACTGTCAAAAGGGCGGGAAAATCCGGGCCCCTGATTGGACGGGAGGCCAAGGGGGCGAAACAGCGGAACGCCTTTGTTATAGGTAGGATAAAAGGAGGGGGATTCAGGCAGTAAAGACAGCAGTCCTTCAAGGCATCGAGATCAGCGGGGTGTTGGAGCCAGCCGTTCGAGTCGTCCGTGTGACGAAGTTCAATGTAGCCAGGCCCAATTCTCTACGGAGACGACGCCCAGCATCGCCCTTCCACAGCTTCCGGCGCATCAGATTGGGAGTAAGGTGAGTTTGGGCTAATTAATCAGAGGGTATAAAGTGGAGGGATAGGCAGGATAAATTGAGTCCAGGATCCCCGAGGGATAGGCTGGTGTCTGCTGACCCACATAAACACGCGTAGTTTAGCGGGTTATTCGAGGGGAATAAAATCGCCAATAGAGGATAAACTGTGTCGTGTGGTCTTTGTGAGTGCGAAGAGGAGAGTGTAGCATCTGGTGTTCGCGTACATGTATGGCTGTTTAAACTGCCTTTAAATCGGGGTGGAGTGACTCCCTCCAATCAGCGGCGCGCGCACGGTGGACGCCTCCTGACTTCTGATCCCTGACCCCAAGTCCCTCACGTGCGATTGGTGTACGGAGCCGGGCAGGTAGCGAAGTCGGGTTTGTTAGTGCCTGGGCACGTAGGGCTGGTGTGCGAATGGACCCCGGGGGGCTAAGCGCCGGCCGTAGAGTCACGCGTCGGCGCGCTGTACCCTTTTGTTTACGCACGAGACGGGGTTTTACTTTGTGGGCGCGCTCACCGCAGCACGTCTGCCACTGAGCCCGCGTAGCGCGTCGTAAGCATAAAGCAGTCGGCCCCACCGATTGAATCATGAATACGCGGGCAGCAACAAAGTCGGGGGTACAGGGGGGCGAGGAATTGGGGGGCGGTAGCCCGAACCCGACAGAGCAGTCGGGGGGCAGTAGCACGATCGTGACGGAGGAGGCGGGGGACAGCGGCCCTGTTAGTTTGCATCACCGTTAGTCTCCCCCGCTGTGTCTGTGTCGCTGTTAGTCTGTGTCACTGTTGTTCTCCATCACTTGTAGTCTCCATCGCTTTTAGTCTCTGTCGCTGTTTGTCTGTGTTGCTGTTAGTCTCCATCGCTGTTAGTCACCGTCGCTTTTAGTCTGTGTCACTGCTAGTGTGTGTCGTTGTTAGACTAACACTTCCTGCACACATTCCCACTCGCTTTTCTTTTTCGGTTTGAATTTTTTTCATGTAATTTAATCTTTGTGTGTGCCCCCGCCCCCCTTAATACACATGTTTCACTCTTACGTGTCTTTCATTTGTAAGTGGGAAAGGGTTGGAATAAAACACATGCATTATGGTGTCTCTCCAATACACACACAAAGGCAGAGACATCGTTACAACCAGCAATGCCGATACTTACAGTGAGGGAAAAAAGCACTTGATCCCCTGCTGATTTTGTACGTTTGCCCACTGACAAAGAATGATCAGTCTATAATTATAATGGTAGGTTTATTTGAACAGTGAGAGACAGAATAACAACAAAAAAATCCTGAAAAACGCATGTCAAAAATGTTATAAATTGATTTGCATTTTAAGGAGGGAAATAAGTATTTGACCCCCTCTCAATCAGAAAGATTTCTGTCCACAGAAGCAATCAATCAGATTCCAACTCTCCACCATGGCCAAGACCAAAGAGCTCTCCAAGGATGTCAGGGACAAGATTGTCGACCTACACAAGGCTGGAATGGGCTACAAGACCATTGCCAAGCAGCTTGGTGAGAAGGTGACAACATATTCTTAAATTTTGATTTAAAGCTTTCGTGACTGCAGTAATTCATATTCTTAGTTCTTTCGGTAAAGTCACGTTGAAGGGAAACAACAAAATAATAAAATATATATTAAACAATTAAAATTCTCACGACCGTTTGTGTTATGGTCGAAACGTCGTGAGAATTTTTTCTTCACCTGAAGACGACCGTTTGTGTTATGGTCGAAACGTCGTGACAATTTTTTATTGTGTTATATATATTTTATTATTTTGTTGTTTCCCTTCAACGTGACTTTACCGAAAGAACTAAGTATATAACATATTTTTATTTTTTAATTTTATTTGTATTTTTTGTTTAATTGGTATTTTTTATTTTTTTATTTTATTATGTTTTATTTTTATTATTTTATTTCAATTCTACATGACTTTACCGAAAGAACCATGAAGATGAATCCCTGCAGTCACGAAAGCTTTAAATCGAGATTTAAAAATGGAACTCTTTGGCATCAACTCAACTCGCCGTGTTTGGAGGAGGAGGAATGCTGCCTATGACCCCAAGAACACCATCCCCACCGTCAAACATGGAGGTGGAAACATTATGCTTTGGGGGTGTTTTTCTGCTCAGGGGACAGGACAACTTCACCGCATCAAAGGGACGATGGACGGGGCCATGTACCGTCAAATCTTGGGTGAGAACCTCCTTCCCTCAGCCAGGGCATTGAAAATGGGTCGTGGATGGGTATTCCAGCATGACAATGACCCAAAACACACGGCCAAGGCAACAAAGGAATGGCTCAAGAAGAAGCACATTAAGGTCCTGGAGTGGCCTAGTCAGTCTCCAGACCTTAATCCCATAGAAAATCTGTGGAGGGAGCAGAAGGTTCGAGTTGCCAAACGTCAGCCTCGAAACCTTAATGACTTGGAGAAGATCTGCAAAGAGGAGTGGGACAAAATTCCTCCTGGGAATGTGTGCAAACCTGGTGGCCAACTACAAGAAACGTCTGACCTCTGTGATTGCCAACAAGGGTTTTGCCACCAGGTACTAAGTCATGTTTTGCAGAGGGGTCAAATACTTATTTCTCTCATTAAAATGCAAATCAATTTATAACATATTTGAAATGCGTGTTTCTGGATTTTTTTGTTGTTATTCTGTCTCTCACTGTTCAAATAAACCTACCATTAAAATTATAGACTGATCATTTCTTTGTCAGTGGGCAAACGTACAAAATCAGCAGAGGATCAAATACTTTTTTCCCTCACTGTACATAATACAGGTTTTTTGGGTTAGATCGTGTAAATATATAAATTGTCGTTATATCTGCCACGACCCAACGCAGCCAATTAGTAAGGTTTGTCACGTAAACTTCCCAATTCGTTACGAGTACAGCACACCGGTTGTGTGTTGAAGAGCCAAGCCACCAACATTTACAATCTGAGTACGACGTTTCAACAGTAATTACAACTAGCTTCAAGTCCACATGTTTCCTATCCTTAAATAGAGGCGTAGAAGCGATGGCGTCACTTGTGCGCTCTTTTTGCGCTAAGCTGTCGCTTCCTCCTGCAAGGCGACGGGGACAACTCCTTCTGTCGAACCGAACTCAAAAGGCATTTTCTTGGGATCATCATCAAGTTATTGGAGGCCACGTACTCTAGGGGGGGGGGGGGGGGCGCGCCCCCCTTCCCCCTTCCCTCCGGTGGTGCTGGTGCACTCTTACCGTCGAGATACAGCTGCTCGGTGGTCCTGTGGAAAAAGTTGCATTTTTTGACCCAGTCCAGGGCTGCAGCCTGCGCAGCTGTACTCCATTCCTGAGGGGGGGAAAAAAAATCCACAGACCATCACCATCATCATCACTACCGCTGCTTAATACAGGTTGCTTCAAAAATATATTAACACTTACATGAGACTCTCGTTTTTTTATTGGATAAAGAACGGATTATACACTCTAACATGGTAACAAATGTACGTCAATAGCTTCAAAAAGTTAAAGAGACACCACTTGTTCGCCATCATTGTCAACGCTGGCTCGTGTTACTGCTGCCCTGTGTAACTGCTGCCGCTGCTGCCATTCACTTGATTGTGTGAAAAACACCATTTAAAGATGTTATTTGCTAATTTTGCAATAAAAAATTTAAAATTTCATCTCCGACGTGAATTTCTCACCTTGAAAAAATATATTGAGATGACTGCCTCTTTGTATATACACCGTGCACTATCCTTGCTATATAAATGCATTTACTCAAGATAATATCTTGGTTACATTTTTTATCATACATCTAAATGGTAACATTTATCATACATACAAATGGTAACATTTTTTTGTAGGCCCTAGAGACTCGGTGCTTACTGTGGTCTATTGGATAATAGGGCTCTGGTGGGTGGGTGGGTGAGTGAGTAGGCCCTAGGCACAGTGCCTACTGTGGCCTATTCGATAATACGGCCCTGGTGGGTGGGTGACTGAGTTGGCCCTGGGTGGAACCACAGCACGGGCCTCCTGTACGTGGACACTCGCGCCTCTGGCAGCAGAAGGGAGGGAGGGAGGCAGGGCGAGAGCGATGTTGCTCTGTGCCTTCCCCACTTCAAATCATTTGAGAGTTTACCCGACCCTCTACTGGTGGCGATCCCGGCTTGTTTGGGACAGCTGGCCCGCTTTCTACAGCCTTATCATCTCACGTCGATGGTTCGAATGCGCCACATACAAGGTGACATAACGGGCCCATGTAATGACTCGGCTAAAAAAAAGTTATATATGTGTAGTAATGTCAAATGGATCACTACGGCACGTACCGCTGAGTGCAGTATAACAAGGAAATATGGGGACAGAGGTTAGCACACCGTGCAGTACCATAATGGAGGCGTGGTACCGGGTGCTAGCAGAAAGAGGCAAAGGAGCCCTACCGATGGAATAGGGAATAGCAGCCACTCCGCCAGCGCAGCGAATAATTGCCGCATAATTGGTCACGAGGGAACGTGGTGAGGGCTGCTCGTGGAAGGGGGATCGGAGGACGAGTCACCCCCGGCTCCAGGTGAAGCACGTGATGGGCCGGGGTGAGGGGTAGTGGGAACAGGTGACTGAGGGGACATGGGTAGTGTAGTCGAGAGGCTTTTGGAGAGTTCCTGAGGGGGGCGTGGTTAAGGGGGGAGCCGGGCAGATAGCATGTGTGAGGTTGTCGAGAACCTTCGGGAACATTCGAGAAGAGGGGCGCGGCCGAGGGTAGAGCCAGGTCGTGCCGAGAGGGATTAAACAGGAGCCCCGATCGCATATCGGGGCTGTCCGTGGGTGAAGCGGAACCGAGGTGCTATGTCTACGTCTTCATCTCCGTCTTCGACATCATGGGTCAAACAGCACGTGGCTGCTCTGACCCGATTGTAGTTATCCCATATAGGAAAAAGATAGGTGTAATATAACCCCATGGGTAACAAGAATTAGAAAAAGGCGTATTAGTCCCGTGTGTAACGGTGTCGTGTAAAGTGTAGAATAAACGTTGTTGCCTCCTAATGGTGTCTCTGAAATGATTCACTACATATGTACAGTGAGGGAAAAAAGTATTTGATCCCCTGCTGATTTTGTACGTTTACCCACTGACAAAGAAATGATCAGTCTATAATTTTAATGGTAGGTTTATTTGAACAGTGAGAGACAGAATAACAACAAAAAAATCCAGAAAAACGCATGTCAAAAATATTATAAATTGATTTGCATTTTAATGAGGGAAATAAGTATTTGACCCCCTCTCAATTAGAAAGATTTCTGGCTCCCAGGTGTTTTTTATACAGGTAACGAGCTGAAATTAGGAGCACACTCTAAAAGGGAGTGCTCCTAATCTCAGCTTGTTACCTGTATTAAAGACACCTGTCCACAGAAGCAATCAATCAATCAGATTTCAAACTCTCCACCATGGCCAAGACCAAAGAGCTCTCCAAGGATGTCAGGGACAAGATTGTAGACCTACACAAGGCTGGAATGGGCTACAAGACCATTGCTAAGCAGCTTGGTGAGAGCGCTGTCCTACCAGACAGTCTCGCCCCTTCACCTGATGAAGGCCGCTTGTGTTGTGGCCGAAACGTCGTGAGAATATTATTGTGTTATTTTATTTTATCAATTTATTATTTTATTCTCATTCTACGTGACTTTACCGAAAGAACCAAAGAAGAAGGTGACAACAGTTGGTGCGATTATTCGCAAATGGAAGAAACACAAAAGAACTGTCAATCTTTCGATTTAAAGCGTTCGTGACTGCAAGGATTCATCTTCTTTGGTTCTTTCGGTAAAGTCACGTAGAATGAGAATAAAATAATAAATTAATAAAATAAAATAACACAATAAAATTCTCACGACGTTTCGGCCACAACACAAGTGGCCTTTTTCAGGTGAAAGGAACAGACCTGTCGGGACGACAGGTCTGTTCCTGGTGGCCAACTGCTAATGGGACAGGAAAACTTCACCGTATCAAAGGGACGATGGACGGGGCCATGTACCGTCAAATCTTGGGTGAGAACCTCCTTCCCTCAGCCAGGGCATTGAAAATGGGTCGTGGATGGGTATTCCAGCATGACAATGACCCAAAACACACGGCCAAGGCAACAAAGGAGTGGCTCAAGAATAAGCACATTAAGGTCCTGGAGTGGCCTAGCCAGTCTCCAGACCTTAATCCCATAGAAAATCTGTGGAGGGAGCTGAAGGTTTGAGTTGCCAAACGTCAGCCTCGAAACCTTAATGACTTGGAGAAGATCTGCAAAGAGGAGTGGGACAAAATCCCTCCTGAGATGTGTGCAAACCTGGTGGCCAACTACAAGAAACGTCTGACCTCTGTGATTGCCAACAAAGGTTTTTCCACCAAGTACTAAGTCATGTTTTGCAGAGGGGCCAAATACTTATTTCCCTCATTAAAATGCAAATCAATTTATAACATTTTTGACATGCGTTTTTCTGGATTTTCCTGTTGTTATTCTGTCTATCACTGTTCAAATAAACCTACCATTAAAATTATAGACTGATCATTTCTTTGTCAGTGGGCAAACGTACAAAATCAACAGAGGATCAAATACTTTTTTCCCTCACTGTACAATGATAATAATTGTAATTTGTGAGTGCAACACAGCATTGGACTGCGACGCCGGCGCGCAATGGGGCCGATTTCCTTTCGGAGAAGGCCCACCACGGCTCGCCGTGAACTCACACCCATAACTCACACCCGTGATTAACACCCGTTACTCACACCCGGCCCACACCCGTGACTGACACCCGTGACTCACGTCCCTGACTCACACCCGTGACTCACACCCAGCCCACACCCATGACTCACACCCGTGACTGACACCAGTAACTTATACGCGTGACTCACACCCGTGACTCACACCGGGCCCACACCCGTGACCTCACACCCGACACACGGCACCTGCCGGGGCTCACCATTCTTAGCATGTTGGCGGCGCTGGGAGTGACGTTGCGCCGCGCTTCGTTGTGCGTTCTCAGGATGACGTCCTGGTTGGATGCGAGTGACCCATCGTACTCCTCCCAATCAGCCCCGGAGGCCGGCACCAGGTGGAGCGCGACCACGAGGGCCAGAACCGCCAGCGCCCCCTGGAAGTTCCTGCCGTGAGACGTTTTTTTTGGCACTTATTATTTTTTTAATGCCACGAACGCCGGTGAAGCCACGTGAATGTTTCATCATCATCGATCATCATCATCATCGCCGATCACCATCACCATCGTCGATCATCATCATCATCATCGTCAATCATCATCATCATCATCATCGATCATCTTCATTTCAGCAGCAGCATCGTTACCAGCCACGATCCAGCCTCCGCTGGGTGAAGGCTTCGCGCCAAACCGCTGCCGCCACCTCTCGCTATCCTGCAGATGCCACAGCTCAGCAAAGGCGCCTCCCGATCAGCGTGGTCGGCTACGCGCGGCGTGAAGGAAGTCCAACATCTCCACATGCGTACACTTCGTCGGATGCGCGTGCAGTGTTTTGTTATTTTTTTGCGCATCAACCGGCAGCAGCAGCGCCAAATCATTTGTTCGATCGAACATCGTCGACGCGCACACTCGTGTTCATCTCTTTGCCTCGACTGCCGTGCCGGGACAACAAGCCGACAGACCACCATGGGGAACGTTACACCGGTGAGTTACATCTGAACGCGTTGCTCTCCGATCTCCCCACGGTTGGAGGAGGAGGAGGGAGTGGCGGGCGGTGGGGTGGTGAGCGATGATTCGAGATGGAAGCCACCCGCCGTGGCACAATGGCGTCGCTTGCGCACTCGTTGAAGTGTAGGTGGTGCAGGACGTCAGTCAATAAAGTTCACCCACGCCGCGCACGGAGTGTGTGGGACGCGCACGGGTGGATAGTGGGCAACGTAGGTATAATTGTGTCATGTGTGTCCGCGTGTGTGTGTACGTGTGTGTGTGTTTCCAGCAAAAACAACCACCTACCTACTCTTTGTTTTTTTCGGTAAAGTCACGTCGGTAAAATGAAATTTTAAATAAAAGAAAACAACTAAATTAAATAACGACGTTTCCGAGGCAACGCAAGCTTCCGCCTTCAGGTGGAACAGTCACAGCAAGATAGCTGCATCAAGTGGGGAGCTCTGAGACTCTCGAGCTTATATACAGGTTAAGGGGGGGGGGAGGAGCCAAGAAGGGGGCGATGGACGACGATGGCCTGCGGGGCTAAGTTAATCCGTCTTTTGTTATGTTGAGGGTTCGGGGGAAGCGATGGTTCACTGCACGGGGGCAATGAAAAAATGGTAAAAAAGCCTGTGTGCTTATAAGGTAGCTGAAGTTTTGACTTGGTTTATGACATCTTTCCAGTGGTTGCTTGATTTAAAACTATCCTCTCGATTGAAGTTGTGTCTATGTTTGTATATCTAGATGGCTTCATGGACAAATCTTTGGTAATAACCGGGAGGTTTGCATAGTACTTTGGTATCGGAGAAAACAATGTCATGAGAACCCGCTGTGTTGAGACAATGATCAGTCACGGCCGAAGAATTCGTTCTGCCGTGTTTCAAATCTGATTTGTGCTCGCGAATTCGGTCAGAAATATGTCGTTTGGTCTCCCCGATATAGCATTCACCGCGGATACAACTAAGTTTGTAAACACCGGGGTACTGTAAGTCAGGAATAGCATCCTTTACGGATGGGATCAGATCACGGATTTTGTGTACTGTATTGAACCGAACCTGGATCTTGTGGTACCGGATGGCAACACTGTGGTGGGCAGTGCCATGGGGGGGGGGGGGGGAGGGCCAATTTAGATTGGCCTTTCCCCTCATGGCGTTTGTAACCACCACAGCGGTCAAATGGGGGCTCTGCACGGGTGCGAGGGGCTGGTAACCCCTCCACCTTCAATTAACTGCCACTAAACTACGAGGTAAAACATTTATTAAGCTTGTGCCGGAGGTCACGGGGGGACAGGTGTCTTTGATGTCTCCTGGCCAAACTCCATTTGGCGGAGCCAGGAAACTGAATCCTTACCCTTGGGGCTCCAGAAACAACAAAAAGTGAAATGCTCTCTGCGGAGAAGAGGTTGCCACTCCTCTGTCGGGAGCTGGATGGGTACCGCCTGGATCTCTGTGGTATTCAGGAGGTCCGGTGGACTGGCTCTGGCTATTTTCAACAGGGAGTGGCTATTCTACTGAACAAAAGAATGAAGGGGGCGTGGGAGCGTGGCGGTGAGGTGTGGGAAGCTGTAAGCCCCAGGCTAATTTGGGCTTACCTTCCCATCAACCAGAGGCGAGGAGTGGTGGTCGTGGTTACTTATGCCCCCACCGAAGACGAACATCCATGGAGGGATGCAGGCAAGGCCGATAAGTCAGATGCCTTCTATGACCTCCTGTCACAGGTGCTGGCTAAAGTGGCCCCTCGAGATAGAGTCATCTTGTTGGGTGACTTCAATGCCCGAGTTGGTCATGATGCTAGCACCTGGACTCGAGTGATTTGAAGGCATGGGCCAGGTCAGCTCAATAACAACGGTAGGAGGCTGCTAGATTTTTGTGTAGCCCATGGGCTTGTAATTACCAACACGCTGTTCCGGCATCGGCGCAGCCACACAGCATCAAGCAAGAACATCTGCTGGACTACATAGTGACGGAACGTCGGATGTGGGCCCATGTCCTTGACACCAGGAGCTACCGTGGAGCTGATCTTCCCACTGATCATCGACTTGTCATCTGTAAGATGCGCCTGCCATTCTTCTACTCCGGTGGTGGGTTGACACCCAAGACTCCATTCAAACCCATAGTGGCATGGTCTCAGCTAGCTGATGAAAGCTGCAAGCGAGGATTTCATCATTGCTTGTGATGTCGAGGGGAAATGGGCGAGGTTTAGGACTGTGGCTCATGCAGCTGCAATAACTTCTTTGGGTACACAGTCCAGACCTCCTCAGAGACCCTGGCTGACAGAGGAGGTGTTCAGGCTGGCTGAGAAAAAGCGACAGGCCTACTCTCATCGTCTACAGAATCCCACGTCAGAGAATGAGGAGGCTTACCGCAGCCTTCGCTCGGAGGTTCAGAGAGCCGTGAGGCGCTGCAAGGATGGGTGGTGGTCGCGGGTTGCTGAGGAGATGGAGTCTGCCTCAGTGACCCGCGATCACAAATCGCTCTTTAATTCCATCAAAAAAGTAACCTGCAGCACCACACCTATTACCATCATTGGGGGAAAGAATGGTGAAGCAATCTCCGACCCCCAGGAACAGGCTTGCAGATTTGCTGAGCATTTCTGTGAGGTCCTGAGGGAGGGGAAATCCCTCAGCCAGGAAAACATCGTGGGACAAAGTGGGGATGTCCCTGCTGAGGCTGCAGTACCTCAAATATTGGAAGAAGTCACCCCCTGTGAGTGGCTGGCTGAGGTGCTATCTGTTGAGGAAGTACTGAAGGCGATCCGGAGCCTGAGACCAGGAAAGGCACCAGGTAGAGATGATCTCCACAGCGAAATGCTGAGGGAGGGTGGCATTTGTGCACAGACTGCCCTATATGACATCATAACAACAGTCTGGACCACTGGACGAGTTCTGCAGGATTGGAAGGATGCCCTGGTGGTCCCCCTCTTTAAGGGGGACTGCACAGACTGTAATAACTACAGGGGTATCTCACTCCTCAGTGTGCCGGGAAAGGTCCTGGCAAGGATTATTCAACATTGCCTTGCCAGGCACGCTGAGCAGAGGCTTGTGGAGCCCCAATGCGGATTCAGGAAAGGGCGGTCCTGCACAGATGCCATATTTTGTGTCCGTCTGCTACAGCAGAGGTGTAGGGAATTCCAACAAGACCTACATTTCTGCTTTGTTGACCTGGTCAAGGCCTATGATACCATCAGTAGGCCTGGGCTCTGGGTTGTTCTTCGTGCTTTTGAAGTCCCTGACCCTCTGCTCACAATCATTAAGGACCTTCATGATGTTGAGCGAGCCCGGGTAAAACTACGTGGCTGGGAGTCAGAGCCATTCCCTGAACACCTCGGGGTGCGACATGGATGTCCTCTGGCTCCAACATTATTTAACATGTATTTTGACCACGTAGATCATGAATCCTTCAATAGCTTTACCGGGGGAATCTCTATTTGGTACAGATATAATGGGAGGCTGATCGATGCCCAGGTGCGGTCAAGGGATGGCTCCCTATTGCTCAACCACGTTATGTATGCCGATGATTTGGTAATAGCTGCTCATTCAGAGGATGAATTGGAGACGCTGCTGCTGAGACTGGAGCATGCCACTAAGAGATGGGGCCTACCATCAGCCCCACCAAAACTAAGCACCTGCCTGGGTATTTTGTAACATCGGACACTCCACCCCCACAACTCCCAATCGGGGATGGGGCAGTTGTGGAGAGAGTGGAGAGTTTCCCATACCTGGGCAGTGTGCTTATGACTGGCTCCAGTTTAACAGCAGAGGTCTTACTCCGAATCAGTCGAGCGGCAATATCTTTTCATCGGTTGCGTAACGCTGTGTGGAAGCTACCTGGTCTGTCGCTCCGCACTAAGCTTCAGGTCTTCTCGGCCACGGTCATTCCCTCCCTTCTCTATGCTTGCGAAACGTGGACACCCCTAATGGAACATCTTCGCCGGTTAGAAACATTTAGGCTGGCCTGCCTACGATCCATCCTGGGTTTAACCAGGCTGGATTGCTTTTGTTTGGCCGGATCGAGGGGGCTAAACGGGCGCTGCACGGGCTAGAGAAGAGATGGAGTGACGTGGTACAGGAGGACGTGGAGCTGAGTGGACTTGCTGATGACTGGTACCAGCGGTGTCAAGGTCGGCCTCTGTGGAGGAGGCTCGTGAAGGACGCTACTGGGCAGTTGGAGGCAGTCGCCCTCCAACAACAACGGAGGGCGGATGAGCGACGCTCACAACAACGAGCGGAGCGCCGGGTAGCTAAAGCATAGCAGGTTGGCACGGTAGGGGGCACAGGTGGTGCATCAGCCAGTCATCTCAGTAATATTAGTCAGTCGACCCGTGGCACTTGGGTCTGCCCCGTGACCTGCCAGCGGGCGTTCGACACTTCACGTGGCCTCAAGGTGCACATGGCCTGGCACAAGCGTCGTGGTGACGTCACCGCCACTTAGTGGCGAATGGCAGTTGTTGTTGTTGTACGTGTGCGTATGTGTGTGTGGGGAGCGGTAGTTTAGCGGTTAGCACGCTGCTGCGCTACGAACCTGGCGACCCGTGTTCGATTCCCGCTCACGGCCAACAACAGTGACGATTATCTAAACCGGTCTTGGGCCTCCCCTAGGTCAATTCAGCCTAAACTGAATACCTGGTATGGTGCGTAAAAACATTGCCACTACGGAGACAAAGGCGGCCGGGCATGGTGCTGGTCACCCACCCCCTCGTGTGCCATTCCGGCCTTCACAGGCGCTCGCTAACATCGCTTGACCCAACAGTCTTGTTAAGGCTATACGGGGGATATTTGTCTTTGTCTCTTTTTTAATATGAGCTCACCACGAATCACGCTGTATATATTAACTTGAGATCGTGGGGTTGTTACGGCTCAGCCCGCACTGCACCAGCGTGGTGAAATGCAATTAAAAGGGGGAGCCCTGTCTTCTTCTTCTTCCTCCTGCATCTCGCAGCATCTCGCAGCATCCCACGACTAACAAACATCCTGCAAAGAATAAGGCGCTCACCACCAT